CTGTCTACCTATAAAACACTCCAGTAGTCCATACAGGCGCACTATTCTTCACACATTTCCCTCAAGTCCGACGACGACCTGGTGTGCCAGCGTCAAAAATTCACAATAAAGTTCATTTCTGCTTCCCAAAGAATCTTTTCTATCAAATTAGAAATAACTATTTTAGATTTCGCTTCTAAGAAACCAGTCAATACGTGTGTTGTGCATTCCCTCACTGGGAGCGCTTTTAAGAGACACCTGGATAATCACCTCTTAAGGGTCAACGCAAACGTTCAAACTCCCATCTGGTAGATAATAGAGATGACTAAAAACATAACACGCCCTTGATTTCGATAGGACGTTTATTTACATGAACGTTGGCTCAGATGAAAATGCAAATGCAGTGAACGTGTTGCACGCTGCTATTGCGCAAACAATATTTATATTTTATTATTATTTTTATGCCTTTTTGCATACTAATGTGACCTGCAACGATTTTTGGATTTGGATGACTTTTTATGCATTCCCGTACTGCTTCAATGGACTTTTTAAGGACCTCTGTCATTCAGTCCAAACAAACTGACTGATAAACAACGACACTGGGATTAGAGTAGCTGCTTTCATTTGGAGATGAATCAAACTTGGATGATCTATAAATTGGGCTATCAGCATCCAAGAACTAATGGTTACATTTGGTTCGAAGCGATCACAGGTAATTTAGCAACCAAAATGGTCCTGACAGCATAAACGGCTACTTTGATAGTTAAGTGTTTAAAATCAGCGCAAATATGCACCTAGATAGTGTCATGTAATTGTGCCAGGCCTAATGACGATTTGAAAAAAACGTATATATACAGTACAACACAGAAGGCAAACACCAATAAACATAAATCAGCATCTAGACGTTTCGGGGAATGAGGCACATAACGGAACAATAAAAGGGCCAAATTCACTTGCCTTCGGGACTTCATTGAGTAGGATACGTGGAACTCGCACATGTTGCGCAAGACAGGGCCACCGAGCAACAACACCGCGCGCCAAATCCCGAGTAAGTTCCAGGTGGCCAACTTGGTCCACGCCAACAGGTACCGCGTCTGCGTCGTAGAGGAGGATGTCTGCAGCTTGCAGGACAGGATAGGTGAAGAGACCGACGGACGCTGTAGGATTACCGGTGTTTGAAAAGC